TTCTGAAATGTCAAGAATATGAATATTTAGGTATCACATTCGACAATATCGGAACAGATGTGAAAGAGATAGAAAAACGAATAGTTACAGCTAAAAAGATAGGATATCTGAATGACATCTTGTGGAGCAAGGAGATAACAAAAAGAGGAAAACTTAATATATACGAGACAATGGTTAAGAGCAGCCTATTGTATGGAGCGGAAACATGGAGAATTCCAGATAGACAAAAAAAGAAGGTAGAGGCAGTCGAAATGGACGCGATAAGAAGATCTATGCGAGTATCACGGAGAGAAAGAATGAGGAATGATCATATAAAACAACGAATGGGAATAGAAGGTACGATAATTCAGGATATCGAAAAGAAACAACTTACCTGGTACGGACACGTAGAGCGAATGCAAGATACTAGATGCCCCAAAAAAATACTGAACTGGACCCCAATAGGGAATAGAAAGTGAGGAACACCCAAACTAGAGTTGCAGCAAAACATAAAAAAATCATCAGCGAACGGAATCTATCAACGGAAGATTGCCACGATAGGATGGAAGTTAGATGAAATTTCCTACGCAACTCATCAGAAAATTAGAAATTCATGTAGATCTGACTTAGAATTGTTAAAGCATATTGATATTAATTTAATTGGTTGTCCAGCTAGTTAAATTAGTATAATATACACAAAGTCATATAACTATTTTGTCAGACACCGTAAATTTTAGAACTAATTGTATCTCCTTCTCTTTTCGTTTCCCCATTACTGAGGATTGTGATTTATTTCAATATTCCTAACATTTTTTCTCCATTGGTCTCTATCTTCAGCTACTCTGAGAGCATCGCAGAATAAGTTTTTAGCAGAAATTTTAATTTGGTCGGACCATCTCATTGGTGATTGTCCTTTGATCTTCCCCCGGAACATTTTCAGAAACAATTAATCTCTCCAAACTATTGTCACCTCTGCGAACCACGTGACCAAAAAATTGCGAAATATGTTGCAAACATAGAGTGGACTGCCTTTTTTAATCTCAAGTTGGTTTAGAATGGAAACATTTGTCCTAAAAACTGTCTAAGGTATGCGCAGCATTTTTTCCAGCACCACATCTCAAAGGCTTCAATTTTTTGGTGTTGTCATCCGCGAATAATCCAAGTCTCTGTCCCGTATATAAATATTGAGAATACCAGAGCTTTCACCAGTCTCATCTTGATATTTTGAGAGATAAATCTGTTCTTCAACACTTTAGTTAGGCGACTCATTGTATTTTTTGCCATACCAATAGGTCTCCAAACTTATTTTTTACGGTTATCATCGTAAGTTATACTAGACCCGAGATAGACAAAACTGTCCACTATCTATTATTCCTGTCACATGTTGGTTAGTTGAATAGTGTGGAATCTGTCGACCACCATTCTTTTTGTCTTAGCTTTAATAACTTTCAGACCAACTTTACTGCTTTCGTACTTAACTCTTCGTAGTTTGATCATTTGCTGCTATAAGTATAGTGGCATCAGCAAATCTTAAACTAGAGATTTTCCTATCAGTCACGGTTACTCCACCGGCTCATTCATCTAAAGCCATCCTCATGACATGTTTACCATAAATCTTGAATGAGTCAGGTGACAACATGCATCCTTGTCTAACACCTTTCTCCGTCTTGAATTGGTTTGAGAACTTCTGATCTAGTCATACTGTTGCTACATTTAACTGGTACAGATTTTAAATAAGTGTCACCAGGTGCAGTGTTGTGCACATTTTATTAAAATAATTCACAGATTTGGAAATAGAAAGTAATTTTACAATCAGAATAAAATGTTAAAACATATCTAATAAAATTTTTACAAAGATTTTAGAATTTTTCTCAAAGAGCTTGATTATAAAATTTAAGACCTAGATAAACGATCAAATAATAAAAAATCAGGGGAACAAAATTAGTCTGTAAAATAAAAGTCCGAACCTGAATGTCACTGAAGGTTACAAGAAACCCAACCAGTGTTCGAGACAGCAACTTATTGATAGCACTTCTAATAAAATACAAGCTAGACGGCATCTAAAATTGCTGTTAATAATGATCTTACGACCGGATAATAATTCTAATGAAAATTTAATGAAAACTTAACTGGCTTCATTAATTTTCTGGATAGGTTATAAAGTTTATTTCTCTGGAGCTTTCCTGGGCACTTTGTGCACTTCTTAAATTTTACGTTACATAATTTTCCAAGAATAGGGTAGGAAATGTTGGGAACAGCTCGCTTTTTGTTACGTGCATCGTTATATTATTAGGGATTGGGTCTTAATCGAAATTATTCAAACCATTTCATTACTCAAAAGAGTTTGTTTTGTTTAAAATAAAGGAAACGTTGAGAATGGAGTTAGTTGTTTTTAAGTGGAGTTAATAAGTGGATATTTATAAGTAAAATTCTTTTAGGTAGTTAATGAAAGCAGTTCTTTCTAATAAATGAGATAATATAGTAAATTCTCTTTACGCAAATAATTTTTATGCGATTTTGAAGTTTTGCGATTTGTATTTCATTTAAAAAAATTATTATTAACTATTATAATAAAATCATAATTATTCACATCTAGATGTCCCTAAAGTGAGGGTTTGCAATTCGGGGATTCATTTGTTACATGATGTCAGTTTTACATCATTGCGAGTTTCGAATTGAAAGGTATAACGTGTTATTGTTGTAAAATAATTTTTCTCCTACTGGTGCTTCGTTTTATACTAATTTGTTTAAAATTTTGCTGATTCCAAGTTGCAGTATGATAAGTAGTGTTACAGGGAAGCAAAAATTAGGTCACATGAAAGGGTTTTCAATCCCAAATTCAGGGGTGCCCCACAATGAGGATATTGTGTACTTTACGTAAGTACTCTAAATTTCTAATTTAACGTTTATTGTTAACAATAACCAGTAGCTTTCAAAATTTTTTTGTAGATGTTCAAAATGACCTCTTTCTGCTTGAACACAAAACTCAAACCTTTTCTGTTCTGCTCAAACCGTCGAAGCAATTCACGTGTACATGTCGCATGTATTACCCCTAACGTAATTAGAGTATATGCTTGTCTAATCTTAGTTTTTAAATCGTTCACATCTATGGATACTTTGTTATAAACGATTCCTTTTAAATAACACCATACAAACCAAGCGAATGTTGATAGCACAGCAGATGTTGGAGGCGATCACATGGGCCCGTTACTTTCAATTCATCTGTTTAGAAATGTGGTATTAACTTAGTCTATTTTAGTACTGTTGTTATAAGGGGGTACGCCATTTTGTTTTTATACCATTACTACTCTCTCGCGTAAAGCAATATTCTCCAGTAACCAAGTGCGGATTTTCCACTGACCAACAATGGGAGTTACGGTGATTTACAATCCCATAACATATGGGAATCAAACACATTTTAAACTAATAGTAATGGTGGTGTTTAAAAAATTTTGAACTTTTTAAAACTATTTTAACAGTAGTTTAAGACAATCTAGTTTCTGCAGCAATAAACTTTATAAACGCAATTGAATTAATCGATACATATGCTTCAGAAACTTGGCCAATAAAAAAAGCTGATTCAAAGCTTATAATGGCATTTGAAATGTGGGTCTATCGTAGAATGTTGCGCATACCACGGACCGCCCATCGCACAAATTACTCAATTCTAGCAGAACTTAACACAAAAACTAGACTTATCACAACTATCAACCAAAATATATTAAGATATTTTGGACCTATAACTAGAAGAAAAGAAGGCATAGAACAAATGATAGTTGAAGGTAACGTAGCGGATAAAAGATCCAGAGGAATATCTCCAGTGCGATGATCGGATCAAATAGAGAAAATGATTGCTTACTTATCTTTCCAAGCAAAACAACACGTACAGGAGAGAGATAATTAAAATGAAACAGTCAAACAAATAACATGACGCCACTACACCCTTACGAGGGAGAAACGTTTGAGGAGGAGGAGATGCTAAAACATTTACCAAGTTTTGTTAGGTCTGATCTCTATGTTTATTATTCGGAAATAAACCTTGCCGCCTCTTCACGTAAACCATACCAAAAGTTACATGACAAGTCTTCTTTGCGCTACTTTCTTTAAAACTCCTACTGCATATTCTGCAGAGGAATTTGCGACGCCATTGCTTTCATTGATAATAATGGCGCTTCTTTAATTATTCCCTTTTTATCATATGTTTCCTACAAGACTATGCCTATATCTTTTCACTGAACTTTTTATTCATTTTCCCATGCGTGTTTACATATTTAAGATCTGCTTGTTTACATATCATATAGGAAAATAAGCATAGAGTTCAGTGCAAAGATTCAGGTATAGTCATATAAAAAAAATATGTTAAAAGACAAAAATCAAAGAGGAGCCTTTGATTATCTTAACTAAAACGTCGCAAGTTCCTCTACAGAATGCAGTAGGATCTGGTTACCTATATTAGAAGAGGAAATCAATAGAAAGAAAATACTACCATTAGCAACTCAATAACATATTAGGGACACAAAATTGAAGTATTAAAATAACTTTATTATAAAATCATTGATTGAACTAAATGTAAGACCAAATGCTTACCATCGGGATAGTATTAAGAGGTTATTTTTTTGTCATATCTTTCATGATTTACTATATATGATCACGAACAGGAAAAATATACCATCATCATTGCATAGGGTTGTCTTTTCAAAGGCAAATCACAGGCTATGATTTTTCTAAATGGTAATCATAAGTAAAATGTATAATATATGTCTGAATTGTCAATATGAATGAGTCAGATTAAGTCAAATTATCAGAAATGTTTTTTAGCTAATAGCAAAAACAGAATTTTTTTTAATTTATTAACGTTTTGTATTTCTAGTACGATGTCTGAAGTGGAAATTGAAACGACAAAGAAACTAATTTTATAGTAAAATTTTGGCCTGCTCTTAGTAAAAATAGTAAATTTCATTAAGATGCTACAAGAAAATATAATATATAATAACAATATGTAATAAGACAACTCGAAGATGTATAAAACATTTACATATATTTATATCCTGCATTAAAATAAACAATTAATATAGATTACCAAAATGGATATCTTAGTATATTTATCTTTGAGGATCTGTAAAATTCTACTGCCGATATTACTTAATATTTTTATATTAATCGGTTTTTTCTTCATTTGTGTCGTCATCTACCTCTAATAAATGTTCCTCCTCCACGTCAGAATTTGAAACCTCCTTAACTCCAGGCTTTGGCATATCAAGTCTAATGTCGTAAAGCTGATCAAAAATATCGTATGGAATAAAATCCGCTGGAACCGGCCACACCTTGTCTTTGTAGATATCCCTCTGAGGTACAACTCCAAATATTTCCTTAAACGCTGTAAGGTCGATAGGAAATGGAGATTTTAATAAAAATTCTAGTCTTTCTATTTCTGGTAATTCTTTTTGATAATATTCAACGTAGTTGAGAGAACCCCCTATCATACTAGATCGGACATACAGACTGCTCCTTTCTCGAAGGGACATACTATCTAATTGCTAAAATAAAAAATAATAAAATAATAAGAGATTTACTTTACCCTCTACCGAAGACCTCGAGGCATGCATGACAACTGCTAACAGTGCCTAGAGACAGTATCTTCATTGTTATCTTGGTTCATAAGCAAGATTATTTTACCGTTTCGTTTCGTTTGCCGGAACAGTTTAGTGAGAAGTATCGTAGTGTTAAGATTGAAAATTATTTCTTGCTACAGTCCAATTTTCAAAAAAAAAATTATATAGTTTTTTGTATTAGATCTAATCGTGATTAATACCGTTGAAATTTTAAGAATTTATTCTTTTAATATGATATAAGTAAAAGTGTAAAACAAATTGAATGCCGTAGTGCAGAACTTTTTAGAGTGGCAGTCAACAGAGTCCGCATAGCCATGATGATTTCCAACCTTCGATAGAAGATGGAACTTAAAGAAGAAGAAGAGAAGTGAAAAATAAAATTATAAAGTTGTGTAAAAACAGAAAGGGCCTCAGAGCACTTATGAGAGTTTAGGTGGAGATTAGTGTCTTCTTTCTATTGTAGTTAGCTGCCTAATTGTGTCATTGTGTACAGATCTATTGTGGCTAAAAATAAATTTTCGAAGACGAAATAAAGTAAAGCTTAGAGAAATAAGCGAAGAGGAAGAATGGGCATTAATAGAATCAGTCGAATCGGATGTGAAAACTGATTTTAGTAGCGACGATGATGAGACCGATCCAAATTTTGTGGTTGATGAAATATCCCCCGAGGATAAACAGTATATTTCACAGGTGGTTTTGCAAATAGATAAAGACGAATCTACTTATTTCAATCAAGCGGCCGACTCATTGAACTTGACTGCAGTCGACGAAGCCCTTCCATTAGCTACGTCAACATTAGTTTCTGAACAGAATGATTCGAACGAAAACATTGTTACGGCAGAAGAAAAAGATCAATACGATGTGTCATCAACTTCAACACCGCGTTTCAAGAAACTGAAACGACCTCGTTCTCCATTGCCTGAAATCGAAATTCCTGGTATATTAATTGTGCCTTCTGCTCTAGGTTTCACTGGTGCAGGTATGAATTGTTTTGACATAAGAGTATTGATGAGTTTCCTAAACTGGTATTATAACTTTTTCGCAGGTATTCAATCAATAGCTAAAAAATTCAAATTTGGAGTTTTTCAAAATCGTATGGCGAAAACAATCAATGCGTTTGCATGTCAATCAATTAGCCTTCCGGGCTGACTTAAGCATACCATCGTCCATAAACGAGCTCGAGACACCGATGAAACTATTTCGGTATTTTTTTTACTAAGGAATTGGTTGACTTGATTAAATTTAAAACAAATTGAGCAGCTCGCCAAGCCGATATCAGCACAAAATTCACTATTGCCAGTGAAGATATCTTTAGCAAATTTTTAACCAAATCACAAATAATGAGGAAATCAAAGTCAGAATATAAAAACCACGTTTTAATTTTATGAAAGTAAAAAAGGTCCTATGTGGCAAAGATTTAAAATTAGCTCTTAAAGTATGCCTAACATAATATTACGTATACAGTGTAGTATACTATGGAGTGGAATCAAGGACGTTAAATCTAGACACAATGAAACGACTGAACGCCTTTGAAATGTGGACCTACAGAAGTATTATGAGGGTTTCCTGGGTAGATAGAGTTACGAACAATGAAGTACTGAGAAGAATATGCGAAGAGAAGAAAGTTGAACTTACAATTAAAGAAAAAAGCTAAAGTATCTCGGACATGTAATGTGAGAAGCGAGAAGTATTGCCGGGTCCAGACCAAGCAGACAAAACGAAAACACAATTCTGAAACAAAAACACGATAAACCGGCGACAAAATTTGTCGTCAAAAACCAAAACAAAATTGAGACAAACTTTCCACACCAGAAAAACAAAATATAAAAACAAATTCAGTTGGTGACGTTGTTGTTGTGATTAGTGTTGGTTAACCATGTAGCGTTTTAATCAAGAAAAAAATGAAACTGAAGATTTAATACTAGCCGCAAGTTTTTTTTTGCTCTCATCATCATCCCAGGTTGCTAAAAGAAAACCCAAACGTTTTTGGATTAGACCAAGCCTAAAAATGCAAGAAAGTTGTTCGATAGACAAATTGTTAGTTCAGCTACGAGCAGATGGTATTGGACTAAGTGGTGAAATTCGATCAAGCTTCAAAAATTTTTTAAGAATGTCCACCAAAAATTTTAATAATCTAATATGCCTTGTTGGTCCTGCAGTGGCAAAAAGACATACTAACTTTAGAAAGGCTATGAGTGTAACAGAAAGGTTAGCAATCACTTTAAGATTTTTAGCAACAGGTGATTCCTACCACAGCCTAATGTATCTTTCAAAATTATCAAAGCAATCAATATCTGTACTAATACCTGAAGTATGTAAAGCTGTAATTAATAGTCTTAGTGGTTATGTACAAGTATGTTAAACTTTTTTCAGTACTATTTTTCTTATAATATCCCTTAAAATAAACTCAATATTTATTGGTTAAATGTTTAATACAAAAGAAGTTGACGATAGGTACAGTTGCGGTCACGGAATAGTTTACACCTTACTTTTTATATTGTAATACTGTAAAATTGCAGTGTCGTACGGATTTGATAAATGTCAAAGTCAAAAAATTTCAAAACGTCAATGCTTTCGCGAGTGTTCAACAATAAAATAAAAGTATATTAAACTCTTCCAAAATGGTTAGAATACATTTGAATTATGCGCAAAAAGCAAGAGCAATTGCCAAACTCGAAGAAGGTTGGTCACTAAGGCAAGTTGCTGCTGATTTGAACGTGAGTCATATGTGCATATGGAAGATTAAACAAAGATGGGATAATTTTCACTCTATAGCACGGTTGGGCGGTTCAGGAGGGCAGAAGATTTCCACAGATCAACAGGATGAGATGTTAGTAGATTATTTGAGAGAATCTCCTTTTGCCACAGCTCAAAAGGCAAGAGAAGAGGCAGCGTTTCCAGGCAGTATTCGCACTGCACGTCGAAGAATTAAAGCAAGTGGACTGCTAAATTGTGTAGCTGCACGGAAACCTTTTTTGACTGAGGTTCACAAGAGGAGACGAGTTGAATTTTGTAATGAATTTATAAACCGCGATGAGAATTTTTGGTCTAGGGTTGTACTTTCCGATGAAAAAGTATTTCAGTCGTATAATAATGGTCGAATAAGAGTTTATAGGCCGAGAAATCATAGGTGTGATGAACAGTATACGCATCATTTAAGAAATAGTGGAGGATTCTCTGTCAACGTATGGGGATGGATAAGTGCCGAAGGCCGGGCGTTTGTTATCATGTAGAGGAGAAGTTAACAGGATTATATTACAAACATATTATTGAGCACACAATGTTGCCATCGGTGATCCAGAGATTCCCCAACAACGACTTTATCTTCCAACATGACAATTGCCCGGTGCATACTAGTAGAATTGTTCGAGAATGGCTAGAAGAAACTGATGTTAATGTTCTTCCGTGGCCTTCCCGTAGTGCAGACTTTAACCCCGTCGAAAATGTGTGGGCAGAGTTAACAAAGAAACTAAATGAAAGAAACCTTAGACCACGGAATAGAATTGAATTATGGGAAGCATTTGAGCAGGCATGGGAAGAGCTTGTTAACTATAACATGAGGGGATTGGTGCTATCTATGAACAGAAGACTGCAAAATTGTATTGACAAGAATGGGGCTTCCACCAAATATTAATTATTATTTATCATTGTTTATCGTTATTTAATATAAAATAGATTTAAAATAAAATGCATATTAAAAAAAAGACTTTTTTATTTTCGTTATTAAGATCATAATCCATTTTATTCAAAAAACTGTTTTCTATATTTTTCATTTTGTAAAATATTTTGATATTTTAATTTTAATCTACCTATTCTAGCTAGTACACCACTGGCAACGTCACTTTGACGTAAAAGGTGCGTTTAAACGAAGTAAAAATTTAAAAAATGGGCTCCTAGATACGTGAACCTGTAAACTATTCCGTGACCGCAACTGTACATACTACATGCAAAATAATGACGAGTCTACTTGTTTTTACATTCAAAAAGTTCATCATCAATTTCGTTCGTTTTCTTGATCTGAATACTGAGAAAGGTCTGTGTCAGTACTAGGTGGATGTGAAAATAAAGGTTGTGTGTTGGTGTTTGGTGGATTTAAGTAATAGTTTTGTGGGTCAGCACTGGGTGGATTTGGATATGAATGTTGCGTGTTGGGTGGATTTGAGTGTAAATGTTGAATGCTGGGTGGATTTGAGTATAAATGTGTGTCAATGCTGGGAGGAGTTGAGTATGAATGTGTGTCAATGCTGGGAGGTCTTGAGTATGAATGTTGTGTGTCAGTGCTAGGTGGATTTGAGTACAAATGTTTTGGGTTGGAGTTGGATGGAGTTAAGTGAACATTTGTGTTGAGACTAAGTAACAGAAAAATACACTTAATTTTGATAAAAATTGTATATTCTATTTCTCCTACTGCTTAACTCGTTTTGGCACGCACACGCATCCACACTGCGCCGACAACTTGTCGTCAAATACACAGACAAAACACAGACTTTTTGATCTTTACCGACCTGAGACGGGACCTGAAAAAGTTTTCAAATTTGCAAACAAAACAAAATTGTTCAGAAATGTCTCAACAAATGTTTTCGATTTATCGCCACTTTGTCGCGAAACATGAATGTTTTTGTTTTGTCTATTTGGTCTGGCTGGACCCGGCATATGGCATCCTGCGATTCATAATGCAAGAAAATATAGATGGTAGAAGAAGCATCGGAAGAAGAAGAATTTCATGGCTTAAGAACCTGAGAGATTGGTTTAAATGCAGCTCAAAACAACTATTTAGAACTACTGCCTCAAAAATTAAAATAGCTATGATGATTACCAACCTCCGTAGCGGAGATTGCACCTGAAGAAGAAGATCATAGATTACAAGTAATGAGGATTCACTTACATTACCTATATAATGATTATTTTCAGTATATAAATATTCTCAATATCTTTTTATACTATAATAGTTTAATAACTGCAACCTATCTATATGTTCTTCGTTAAATGTCCATTTCATTTATTCGTTCCACTCCATTCAAAAGTCTGTTTATCGAACCCAACTTCACCCAATAATCAATAATCTGGAACTGCAATTTGTTAACAAGTATTTTGTGCTAGATATTTTCGTATGTTTTTGTAAATTATTGTAGTGGAAATAATAAATATTTGATTTATATTTAGATATAATTGTTTTATTCATTACGTCTGCGAACTGTATTAAGTGAGTAATATTTAGCTTTATTTGTGATCTTGAAGTGATGTTTATTTCATCCAGTTGGGTTGGGGTTTATTTCATCCAGTTTGTCTTTCTTAGAGCATCAAAAATTTTCTACTCAATTCAACACTTATTCTGCTATGTTAGGACCAATAATGTTTGTAGTTTGCATTTATAAATACAACTGTGATATTTTTTATTATTCTTCAGACTGTTGGGTTTTTATGAAGACACTGTTGTTATAACAAAAAAAAATAAAAATTATTTGGAAAATAACTTACAAATGATCCCAGTTCACTACTTCTCATTATTCCACTAGATCTCACGGACATTTTCTCGACCAGATCATACATTTTTTTGACGCATACAAAAATCTGCCGACCAGTCTCCTCTTGAATATTTTCAGCATCGATGGTTTCCAGTAACATCGAGGGATTTGCAGTGTATGTTTGCCAGTCGCTCAATAGTCTCGAATGACAATGATTAATCTGTACTAGTAATTTCATGTTTTTTAACTTCTGTAGATGGGTTTCGCTTTTATATAAATACTGAAATAAGAAAAAATCATATATATATATATATATATATATATATATATATATATATATATATATATATATAAATAGGGTATATAACGACGCTAAGAATACAATTCTTTGGTAGGTAACTTTCGGGAAAGCGTCAAATCAAGGATCGGATAGAGATTGTATAAGCCAGTTTGGTGTAGAACTTTATTCTAAATGTGAAATTTTCGGTGCTAGGCTGTCACCTTCATCAGCACCTAAATGGAAAACCTATCTAGTACAAGTGGTGGAAATCAACATTTAAAAACCTACATTGAAAATGTTCAGTTGGTACTTGTGGTGAAGAACACTGTCACAAACATGTGATATACATTTGTATACATTTAAAATTTTAAATAAAAACATTACAACACAAAAGGGTATTTTTTCAAATCAAAACACCAAAACACATCAAAAAAAATCAAAAATCTAAAAACCCAAGAAAAAAACGCAACTTCATGTTGAAGGTAGAAAAGAAGAATTATTCTTCTTTTTTATGGTGAAGAGGAAAAACAGCTCTTTTAGCTCTGCAGGTTGGCTAGCAATTTAAACGATGTCGTATGCAAATCTAAGATGACTGAGGTATTTTCCAATAATGGATATTTCCTTGTTCTGCCAGTAAATTTTGCTTAATATATTTTCTAGAGTTGCAGTGAAGAGCTTTGGTGATATTGCGTCTCCTTTTCGGGCACCTCTGGTAGTGATAAGTTCTGGAGTGTGTTGATAAATTTTTACTTTAGCTTTTGCTAATATTTGCTATTAATTAATATTAAATATAAGTTTCTATGTATGGTTTGTCAATGCCTTGGTTGGTCACAGCTTTTATAACTCCCTTGGAATATATGAATCGTAAGCCTTCTTGAAATCTATGAATGTTAATGCTAGCGGTATTTTGTATTCTATAGTTCTACTCATTAGTTCTCGAAGTATATGAATATGATCTATGGTACTGAATCCACCTCTGAAGCCACTGAACATTCGTTCAAACTGACTCGTTGTTCTTTATTATGAGAGGTTCCGGTTGCCTTGTGTATAATCTAGTGTTTAAAATAGGTGCTACCAACTATCATGTTTAGCGATGCTGTTAATTTGATTATTCCTAAAAAGATGGACACGCTGCTGTTGGTTTTAAAAATAAGTTGAGAACACGAGAGGTAGTTTTGACAAACTTACACATACATGTATACTAACTCATTCAAAGAAAATTAATGACTCATTTTAAGTTTGTTTATTAATGCTGCCAATTTTGAATTTTTTGTAAGCGGTCTTACTTGAAGATTACCGAATATTCCCGCTTTTACTTCTTTCATACTTATTTCAATAAATTTACGTGATATACAAATTTTTATCCTGATTATTGCTTAATAAGCGCAAATCACCAAGCACCATATTGCAAAATGTAATATGGTGATCTAATTGAAAACTTTACCACAATACTCGAATATTACCAACAAATATCACATTCCACAAACCTTGGTGGGAGGAAACGTGCCAGGAAACAGCCTGACGCAGAAAATTAACTTATATTAAACATAAACAAAATCCTACAATAAGTAACCTAATACAATATAAAAAGATGGACGCATTAGTGAAGAAAACCTTTAAGGAAAAGAAAAGAAAAAGCTGGAGGGAGCATGATACCAACACAAAATATTTAGGCGATAGGTGTGTTCATTTTTAGAATGGCTTTTCCGAGTACACTGGCATTACAGCCACTAGACATATTTTATTATATACGCGTAGAAATAATATTTAAAAATTTAAATGAATGTTAACTTAAAGAAATACACAATAATATGTTTCATTTAATTTGTATAAATGCATTATAAAGCGTTTTTATGAAAAACATTTGTTCGGAACACACTGTAACTGTAATAGAACAAAGGTGAAACTTTGGCATAAATTGGTAACACTTATTTGACAGTTGCGGTGTTGACACCTTTTGTTCTTTATTATTTTGAATTTTAAAGTGAATACCTCTTGTTTTATATTTTTAACTAATTTAATAAAATCTGTTCTTTTTAGAACAAAATTAGTGTTTTATTTTAAAAATATCACGTAAGAATTTAAATAGTCGTTGTAATGAGATGGTAACACTTTTGCAATAATTATGTGATCTATTTGATTTAAAATGGAGTCAGGATTTTTTTATACTTTGGCAACTATGTTAACTTCGATCTCTAACGTAGATAATGACGTGCATCGGTATGTTAATTGGATGGAGTATACCTAGGTAAGTCCTGTTCTAGTTTCCAATAATGTATAATTGAATTTTGTACAATTTATTTGTTGTATCACGGTGCGATGTTTTATCTTAACTTAAAATGCGTTTAAGCTTGATTTTCTCTAAACTTTGTTTAGTTGAATATCCTAAAACCTACCTTTAAATGCAGATGAATAGCAATCTCATCCCCTTCTAAAACATGAATAAAATGTTTAGCATACCGCACTAAAAGGCCTGTTATTTTTTCGCTGCACTGGAAATTGTCATTGGCCCTTGTAACAGTTTCTAAAAAAAAATCATTCAGCGTGTTATCCGATTTTGAAAAAGTATGTTCTCCGATGTATATGAGACGCATGAGGAAATCAGTTCTTTGAATAGTCCTAAAGTTGTCTTTTACTATATCATACATGGTTCTTCTTACCTGCAACAAATTTAATTGTGAATAAAAAGGTTTAAAGCTGAAGCTTTCTTTGGTAGTCACTTGGTACTGACCTACTTTATTTTCAGGTCAATTTTCGCAGTTACTTTTTTGTAAGATCATCGGAACACTTGAGAATTAGAATAACATAAGGTTTGGTTAGAATTAACAAATTAATCACATATAGTATTTATTTGTTTAATGTAACTATTTGTTAAAAAAATAAAGAAACTTAATTATCAAAAATAGTAACAACAAAAAAATATAACTAGTATTCACCTCCACCTTTATAAAAAATAAGAATTTTAGAGTTTTGTATATAATGGTAAATAAGTGAGAAGTATTTGGCATAGCAAAACTAATATTCAGGTATTTTTTTGTGTCAGGCGATAACTTTATAGCTTACCTATCCTACTTTAGAAATGCAGAGATCAGCAAAAATATGTCTTCTCATGCTTTATAGATTACCAGAAAGCATTCGATTGTGTTAATCATTCAGAATTAATAATATTGCTCCAGGAACGTTCGATATATGAGAATGACCCTAAGATCATAAAGAACCTTTATATGAATCAAGTGGCATCTGTGAGAGTAGGACTGGAATCTACATCATGTTTTTCAATCGAAAAAGGTGTACGACAGGGTTGTGTTCTGTCACCCCTCCTTTTTAATCTTTACTCTGAAACGATTTTCGATAGAGCCTTAAGTGACATTGAAGATGGAATCAAAATCAACGGACAGACTATTGATAATCTTCGCTATGCTGATGATACAGTCATAATAGCTGATAGCCAAGAAGGGCTACAACAACTAATAGATAGAATAAACACTGAAGGAGAACGAGTGGGCTTAAGGTAATGGTGGTTAGTAAAACCACGAAATATGCAATTTAATATACGAGTAAACAACAAGAACATCCAAAAGGTCCGCAAGTTCAGATATCTCTATTGCTAACTGTTGCCAGTTTGCTGCGCCTATTTTTTTACCATCCAAATCTACACCATCCTTCCATCAGAGCTCTGGCCAACCCCTACTTCTACTTCCCACAGGTTGTGACATAAAAATTCTTCTAGGTGGGTTGTTCTGCTGTGATCTTGCCAAATGTCCTGCACATCTTAGTCTTTCTATTTTCATAAAAGATACTACGTCTTAACCACCAAATATATGTTTATGTCTGTGATATATCTCGTAGTTATACCTCCATCTCCAAACAACATTTTCACAGATGTCACCGAATATTCTTAGGATCCTTCGTTCAAATATAAGCAGTAGATTTTCATCTGCCTTGGAAATGGCCATGACTCCGATTCATATGTCAACACTGGTTTTATAAGCGTTTTGTATAAAGTTTCTGCTCCTCGTATGTCTACCCAATCCAAAATAGCATTTGTTCGCTAGGATTATTCTTCGCTTTAAAGTATGTGGATTTGTCTACCATTTCAAAGGTAGAGTTATCAACCGTAAATTGGTGGCCGGTGTTTCTGGCTCTATTTTTTGGTGTTGATTCCATTATCTCAGTTTTCTTTATTAGATACCATTAGGCATTTGACAAGGTGGTATATACATTTCTTTTAGCTTGCGTGTTATGCGAGCAACCAGGTCAACTTCATCTGCATATGCCAAAATTTGAGATGATTTATTAAAAGTGTTTCCTCCGTTGGTAATTTGGGCATCACTGACCGCCTTTTCCAGAGCTATTGTTGAACCTATTGCCTCGAATTGTTCTAGATACAAATATTTTTTTGATTTTCGAATAAAGTAGTTGATGCAAAAATAGTAGTTGATGCAAAAATATTCGCATAGCTAGCCAAAATAACTGCGCATAATTATACCCCAAGGGTCTGAATCGGTTAAACATATAATATCAAAATTGATTAAGAAAAATATAGTAAAATATAGTAAATAAAAGTATTTGCGGAACACATAAAATCTGTACACAAATATTCTTACCGGTTCTTGTAAACCTATAACTTTTACGTCTTTAGCAGTTTGTCTTCTTCTTGGATATATAATATTTACTGTTTTATTCATGTGTAGTAGTTAATATTTTACGCAATCCTAAATGTTTATAAACTAGATATATGAAAAGTTAATTCTCGTATTTAAAACTATTTGACAAAGAGATCTGTCAATTAGTTGCCTAATGGAAACAACACACTGATTAAATTTCTTTTTATTTGTAACGTATGATGACTTTCGACATCAAAATGTACAGTATATTTAGTTTTTAAATTAGGTATAGTTCTGACATAATCCAAAAAGAAATCACCGTTATTAAATTATTTATTAAAAAACATTCGGAGCTTGTTTGTAATCAGGCTGAATAAAAACCACAAAAAAAAAGTTAAGGAAATAATGACAAATATGCATTTCGAAATTTAAAAAATGTATACAACTTCCAATGCAATATGGCGGTTAGGAATGGTTCTAAAATGGTGGAATGAAATGACAAAAGTATTGACGCACAGTGTTGTCACGCTTAGCAAAAAATCAAAAAAAGTTGTGATTGTTCATGTTCATTAGTTTATAAAATAAATCTTTAGATACCAAAAAATTCTTATACAGTGGCGTTCTATATATAACAAGATTAACTGATCGCTGTAATACCAGCCCATTTGCTCAGTACTACAAAGTAATCTGGCGCAAAGTAGTCCCTGCATATCTTTCTATTGGGCCGAGTTTATCTAGCACGTGACATTCCCATTAGTGACCTAAGGCACGTGGTCGATAAACCCGGTGAATTAGAAAGAGATACATAGAAAAAGAGAACGGGATGGTATTCCAACGCAACATATGCTGTATTATGTTGATAGCATTCTATAACATTCTTATGTCCTGGGAAACATACTTTTATTCTGGAAATATAAGAATATCTTTCTTATCTGTAAATGCTCCTCTTATAACTCTGCAGTAGCTGGTTTCTATATCCTAATCAATATATAATAACTCTCGTCTTATCTAGTTATTTAAAATTCCTAATTTCGCTCGGAGATATATTATAACATAACCAGCACTGTCTTAACCAAAGTTTACTCTTCAACTTTCGCTCCTATGGACGATGGGAAATCATTTTGGCAATTATAATTTTGTTGCTTACGTGCCTGAATATTGCAATTTATCTGCATTCAAACCACTCACGCAGCTAGATTGCGCAGCTAGAGAATTTAACGTCTTCATAACCAAAGCTGCTCTAAGCCAATTAAATTCATCCGAAACGAATATGCGCTACAAGAAGAATAAGAATGTATACCTGCTCATTTTTCATCGTCAGTTTAATTTTTGTTTCCATTTCTATTTATTTCAAGTTCAAACGTTTTTTCTAATTATATAGTGAAAGTCTCGGCTTTCCATTATTATCTCTAGCCCATTTTTTGTCTGCTATACTATTACGAGGTTATTATTTTTTCTTGTCTTATATTTTACATGTTTTTCAGTTTAATATTTAATTTCTTTTTGTCATTCGATAATTTTGTCAGTTATTTATTTATAGATTTTTCTTTGCATTTCTCGACGTAGCCTTTGGGTGGCTTTGTTTAGTTTAGTTTTACGTTCAGGTGCTGCTGTAGCTTAGCACATTTATTGCAATCTTCTTTTTTTTACTATTTTTGTCAAATTTCTATAAAGTAAGTTGTACTAGTTATCGGTATATTTTTTGTGGAAAACCTAACTTAACTTAACTGAACCTAATGGAAACTAAGGTGGACTGACTGCTGCAATACATTCCTGTCCTTCCAGTTCTAATGGGTTGAGTTTATCGATCACGTGAGCTTCTTATTGGTTATTTAGGTCACGTGGTCGAAAAACCTGGCAAATAAGAAGGAGACGCAGGGACTGCTTTGCATCAGTTTTCTCTGCCCCACTGTGGGAATGGGCTGGTATTTCAACAATTGGTATATATTTTATTATAATATTATTAAGTTTTTACCTTATAATAAGCCCAATCAAACTAGCTTGTGTTGGATACCCGCACATAACCTAACTACAGCAGTGCAACGGAAAAAACTAACGTAAAGCAGTCCCTGTATCTCTTTCCAATAGACCGGCGTTTTTGACCACGTGATCTAAATTACCAATGGGAAAGCTACGTGGTCGATAAACCTAGCCCATTAGAAAAATATGCAATAACTGCTTTTCGTCAGTTTTGTAAGTCTGGTCAGCTATTTCGAACTCTCATAAAATGCTCAAATTTTAGTAAACATAAAAGACAGTAAAAGACGATCATTTTTGTAAAAATATAAAATGTTATTTACTTAGAATTTCATAAAAAATAAATGTTTAAGTATTTTGTAACACGTAAATTTTTAATTTTCAGTAGCAACCATATTTTCTTTAACAATGGCAACATTGGTCAAAATTAACTGAAGCCAATAACAGAACTGTCATCGCAGCCAAATGCTTTGTCGTTTCAAAGGAAACACTAAGCAAATTATTAATTTAAAAAGGTATAATTTATTAAGATCGCAGTTTTTTCAATCTTCAACTGGAAAGACTGACGGACGGATGGATAAACATATATACATATTCTTTAGAATCGAAATTTTATTTTCCTATGATTACTAAGATTCAAAGATTGGAAAATAAATAAGAAAAGATATAGTGCTCGTACAAATAAATCTTAAGCTGAGGTCAATATGCATTGTGCATTAATAAGTGATAAAAACAGAATTCACTAATATACATTTTGAGTCCGTAGAGCTTCTACCTTATATTATAAGGCACTCAAATATACTTGCACCATAAAAACATAAGACACAAAATTAATATAAAAAAAAATAAAAAGAAAAGCAGTGCTTGTTGATATATATAAAAAACATGGATGATTTAAAAGACCAGGTTACATCATAGATAAATATGGAAGAAGAAGAAAAAGCTGGGGAGGTTATGTTTGCAAATATATTAATCAATGTCATAAACTAATATTTTTTTAGTAAAACGGTTTATTTTTTTTGTAACTTTTTTTATTCTTTCCTTTATTATGTCAATGTTTAAATCTGTGAAAGTGAGATATCCTAGAATAAAAAAGAAAGCAGCAGACACAAAACCTGTAGGCATTGCTGAACCAAAACGAACAACGATGTACGACGTTGTGCTTGACAACTTTAAAGTTGCTTCCAGAAAAACGTTTTTACATAGGGTGATATATATGGGGGAACACAGTTTCATCACACCCGATTTATTAACGAGTGTCTTTTCTGAAACAGTATACAAAGCAAATCATAACGACCACTTAATAGAAAAACTGACAGGTATTTATTCAAATATGTATATTATTATGTTCCTATTCTTTATCTTAGTATGTTTCGCCATTAATTACTACCCATTAGCAATCGTTGCCAATTGGCTGCTTCAGTCGTTCTCGCATTCTAATCTACACTATCTTTTCACCTTAGTATTGACCTTCCCCTACTTTATCAGCTGTATTAATAGCATGATTTCTCTGAGAGGTAGTATGCATTTACTTGTGACAGATCTGTTTCCCATCTGACCCTGCCTATTTTTATGAAGAATACCATCTCCTTACCTACCATCTCCTTTTTTTTATCAAGCTCAAAATTACTTCGACCTTTCCAAATACCATTTGTACATACTACAAACATTCTACCTAAATTTTTTCAGTCGAAGATAAGCAGATTATTTACATCTGCTATTTAAAATAGTCAATGTGTCTTATTAATATGTTAGTACTAGTAGGATGAGTGACTTTTATATATTATTAGTTTGATTTTTTGAGTTTCTGTTCTTTAGATATTTACTTAATCCAAACTAACACAATTGACACTTTAGCTGCCACCAGTACCATATATAAATAGATATAGGCAATTTTAGATCTCTGTCATATGTCCCTATATTGGACACAGGTTTTATCAGCGTTTCGGCCATATGTTCGTTGTTGGTACACATTTACCATATATTTAAATAGAAATATCATTGACTTCGGTGTAGAACTATAACATTAAAAAATATGAAATATTTTCAATTTTTAAAGATATAAAGGAATAATTAAATTAAAATTAAATATACATTGACTTTTTTTATTTTTATGACAATACAGTATATAGAATCAAAAGTAACATACAACGTTGTATTTTTTAACTAGAGAATTAAGTACTGAGAGTCAATTTTATTCTACCTACATGTTTTTGTTATTTTTTTGTAAAAACATGGTTGGCAAAGAAACATTCTAAACACATAAACGGATTGCCTTCACATCCGTTGCATATACAGTTACTCGTTTTGTAAAAAACTTGTGCAAATCGTGCATTTGCTTCTTTTGTTCAAAGCATTTTGAGTAAGTTCATGTTTGGTTTGAACTTGTACAGAAAGGGGTAGATTACTACTTTAAAGAGATGCACTTTGCAACTGAATTTTGCAACTGGCATTTTGCTTTGGTTGATATTATTGACAATAAGCGTTTACCAGTCAAGTACCAGTAATCATCTTAAATGTTACTTTTCTGTACTATATTTGACAGAGTTTTGTAAATAGTTTGAATAATCAGTTTTTGATCTGACATGTTCACAAACGCTTTTGCGTTATTATACTTAACAGTGGCTGCAGGTTTTCTTTTATGACCTTCCCTATACGTTACCTCTATGATATTTTCACTCATTTATAGACAGATAAAGTACGTCTCTTGCTAATGATCTTCCCTTTCTTAAATTTGGCTTACATAACATCGTTTTGGTTTTTTCTTAACTTTCTTATAGAATGAGTGGATCTAATTTTCAAAAATTTCAGCGGGGTTAACTAATGTATACCAGTTGTCCGTAACAAAAATCCTACCGTAATCCAATACGAACCCCGATGTTCATAACAACCCTTTCAGTAACCGGTTGTCCATTAATTTTTTTCTTTACCACAATATATTTTAATTGTATGGGCATAATTTTCTAACAAACACATTTTAAACAGCTTTAGTTCAAATCTATGACGTTTTCGTTATACGTACTGTCGAAAAGGTATCTTGCCGCACAATGAGATCATCGTTTTATTAATGTAAACAGTTTATTCTGGAATCGTACATAATTGGAAATTAGAATTTTAGGAAATCTGTATTTTTTAGTACACTCGTCATTGTTCTGTAGATGAAACATTTGCAACAGCAATTTGAACCGGTTTTGGGACATCTATTTTGCAATAATTCTTTTATAATATATATTATATTATATTGAATATATTATATTGAAATTTTGTGCCAGTAATCAGTTAATGACGACTTTGAGTCTAGTCCCATTCAAAGAATGAGCGCTATGAATGTAAGCATTTTATTGTAGTTATCTCTTTCCAATAATTAAAACGTTATTTTTTTGTAAGTGTTTCATTTACTATTTCAATAAATATTTGTTGCTTTGCAAACACATCTGTTTTAACAACAATTATATTTATAACATCTTTAGAGACAAACAATTCAAAGAGAAACAGTTCATTCTTACCAGCCATTTCGTGTTTCAAGCTATCAGGAATTCCAAAGTTTAAAGAACAATTAAAAATTACGAAATTTTAGGAAATAGGTCGCCAGTTTCAATCTTGTAAAAAGTTTTTTTTTGGCCTAACAGTACCAAAAAATCATTATCTTCAGTCAAAGAACTGTCTGATTCTTTCTTCAATACCAGAGATGACTAAACACGAGGTGGTTTTGCATAAGTGTTGGGTTTTATATTTCCTACAAAATAATAGCGATATATAGTCCATTTGCAGAAAATGCCTACTCTATCTATTATGCGGAAATCAAGGTTTTGTGACAATTGAACTAATATATTTGTAATAGGCAGAACAGATGTAAACTTATTTTTGTGAGCCAATCTAATAGTAGAATAAAGGGGATTATACAAACTAATATTTTAGTTAAGATTTTAGCGAACATTCTTTGTTTTTCGCTACAGGTTTATTGTCGGAACCACTCGTCAACGCTGCATTTATATTATATGTAGAATCCAAATCTGAACGGCAGTCTTTTCTGCTTGTAATTCGAACTCTAAAGAACAGAGTTGTTTGTTATTGTGCATCATATTAACTTTTATTTAAATAGTGAAGTCGACTATAGCATCTATTGCTCTGGATTTAAAAAAAAATTCCGATTTCTAGCATCACTATCAATGATATCCATTATCAAAACAGTTTTTTTGTAACATCATTACCAATGAGGTCCATTGCCGAATACAGTTTCCTTCTAAAGACGTAGTAACTCATACAGCTCCAATATACATATTATATCCAGTGGAGATGCAGCCTTCTACACGTACAATGAAACAATTGCTCGTAAGGATTCGTATGATGTATGCTCTAAGCTCAACAGTTTTGTAAAATTGCCTGGCAAAATTCGTCAATTATTAAAATTTTTTTGCAATTTTTTGCGGAGGGCAAAACAAAAACTATATTGCCACTCACTACATTATCTCGTCACTAAAAAGCATCGTTTTGACGGCATTGAAGTTTTTATCCTATTCGAAGGCACTCATTTCTTAAGTGCTATAAAAACATGAGCTACATAAACCAAAATTCCTACCTTAAATTGCTTAATAAATGAAAGGAGTTTATTAAGAACAACAAAAAAATGCTTTTATCATTCGCTGTAATTCACTGTAAAAAAGAGCTTTTTAGTGACTGGAACAAGTATATGGTACAAATTTATCAACAGACATTCCCTTTCCGTACTAGGTTAATGCGTTGATTAAAAGTCGAAGCAGTCCATCCCATAAAATTTTTTATCGAAACATATTCTGTATTATGAAATTCAGAACATATATTATTTGGAAACCACCAAAAGCAGGAAACAATTAAGGAAAATTTGCATCAATAATATTAAATCTTGAAAACCTTTACAAAGAACCAAACCCAATTTCTTAACCAAAGTTCAATGACCTGCAACATCTTTTTCGATTTTTGATCAAGCTAGATGGCAGGACTTTTCATGATAAGTTATCAACAAGCCAATAATAAAAACAGTGAAGATCTCTACCTGGGTTACCTTCTAGTTGAAGGAAAATAAACGGATATATTTGGTAAAGATATGTCTACTCTCAAACTCCTTCTGATGACGGGTAGATCCAGAAACACGTGTCAGGGAGTGGTAAGAGACTCAAATTAAATCGAAACGCAACCTTCTTCGGATATGTTTTGTTGGAAAGTGTTTTAACATTACATAAGCATCATTTGACATCATTGATCATTTTGAATACCCCTACTCACCATAACACTTTACAAACTTTATTGAAGCACATTAAATATTATCCAACAAACAGTTTCTGTACTAGAGTTAGCTAGTTATGAACTTGTGTAACTTTGTTTTTCATTTTCGCGAAAGTGCTTCCGAATATACATTTCCCCTGACCCTTCAATTTTATTGTAAAGATAATTAGCAAAAATATTCATTAATTCTGTTTTATAAACATATGTTCTCCTTAACCATTTGAAGTACTAGGTTTGGATCTACTAATTAATTTTATCTGTTTTATTTCTTTACCTTTCTTCTTGTTGGTCAGTTCCTAATCCGGTCTGGATGTAGATAATCATCAAGATTATTATGGTTTTGTTGACCACTATCTTTATTTTCCTTTAAAGCTTGGATATTTTAATATTTATCATAATAAAATACTAACGGTACCATTATTTATAACATTATTTTTCAAGTATATATTTTGATTAATACCCAAATCTATACCATTAATATAACAGTTTCTTATAGTAATAAATTATTTTAGTCTGTTTTGTACTCAAGAATTTCCCTTTTATTAAATTACATCTTTGTTTTTTTTTGATTATTTTGTTTTGCCCTTTAATTTTTTTATTGCAGGTTTATTGATTCGATATCCAAAAAATTTTATACATTTATTAGAAGGAGACGAGGATATAATATATAGTCAAATTGGTTTCCTATTAAGTACAAAAGCATACAAAAAATATTTGGGGAATATGAAATTAGTAACCAACATCTCTCATATTCATTCTAGGTAGGTTAATTTGCCTAAAGTTTTCAACATTATCTGTCTCCACTTAAGTACTTGGTGATATCTAGCGGCCGTATGTTAAATTTTAATTATACATCAGTTAAGCTATATTTCCATAAAAAGTTACCTCGATCATATCAAAATGAAATCATGAATAGGAACAAGAGGGTACTGCTCAGAAATAAAACAATCAATGAAGATTATGAAGGGCATATTCTTTTAAATAGCTAAAATTTTGTCAAGTATAAAAGCTCACATAACAGCAATGAAACATGAAAAATATTTATGAACGATGATAAAAGCTAATGTTCACAGTTACAAAGTATATTAAGAAAAAAATAGAACCAAAAGAAGTATACTAGTCTGAAGAATGGAATTGCCATTTGTAAATTACATTATATTGCATACAAAAGAACTAGCTTGAGTCAAAAAAGCTAATAGATTAAATATACTTCTAGAAATAGGAAAACAGAAACAACACACAAATAAAATAAATGCCCAAAAGAATTATTATAAGACCAGAGACAAACCCATTACTTTATGAAAAATGTAAGCAATGAACTAAAATCTAAGAATACCACAGCAAAAAATCCATTAAAATCGATAAATATGTTTGCATAAGTCAAATACCAAGCAAATTTTTAAGCCAGTCAATAAATCTCGTTAAAATCTCATCTAATGAGATTTAAAATGATGTCGCTATTTGCGTCTATTCGAAGCCATGTTAGAATTGCTTCCTAAGACAGAAGAGATTTATTTTCACGTTCAGAGCGACTATGAATTGCCGTTCTGATGAAGCCTATTAGGCCGAAATACATATATAGACCAGGGAAATAAGCAAAAAAAGTACCCTGTTTTTGACACTCATCCGGCCAGGCAAACGATAGTTGTTTTAAGTAATATGGACCTCTGTAACAAAAACCTATATGTTTCCTGCAGTCGATTTTTTGGACTTAATTAGTTATTAACAAATTAAGGTCAAAAAACGGAAAATTTTTGCTTTTTTCGTCCATCAGCAAAAAGGGAAGCAATTTATACAAATTTTTGAGGAGAGAAAACTTATAAGTTATATAAAAACCTTCAAAATGGCGTTTTCAAAATGTTTCTATCCTTATTTGTTGCTTAAAAAGTTGCAAAATAAGTCAAAAATTTCGGTTATTTATTAATGTTAATAACTTTTTTGTAAATAAATTTATAATATTTATATTTCTTGGAATGATGTGTCTTGTAGTGCTTAAAATAGGGTCAAAATTTCAAAGTGATCGGTTTAATAGTTAACAAGGTATTTTATTTGTTTATCCCAAATTAACATTTTTTGCAACAATATAAGTCAGAAATTTATACAGTTTTAGTAATTGTAAGGGTTGTTTCTGGTAAAAGAAGACTTGTTTTATTATCAACATTAAAAAAATAATAAGAAAATTAATTTTTAAATATTGCAAAATAATTTTGCAAAAACATGTCGATTTTTTGCTTATAAACAATTAGAATAACTTTTTAACCATTGCCTGTAAAAATATTATTTTTACATATTTAAAAAGCTTGAATTTTTTCACAAATTTAAATAAAAAAAAGTTTGTCCTAAAATAATTTGGTACAAAGTTAGCATCTTTTTTTATTTAATTCATAGTACCTTTGTTTATAATAATTAAGAAATCTAATTATCACTATTTGAAAGAATGTACATTATAGTTTTAAAGTACCAAACTTTAATATTATTGTCCTGTAATAGAATCCTCCACAAAGCTTCAAAATGTATGTAAAATCATTCAGCTTTGAAACTCTCGGGAGCTGAAGGGAGGATGAAGGCGCTGTATCTCTGTTCCTTTTTTATGTATTTCAACGTTTCTTTTTGAACTTGCATGTACTTTTTGCGTACATTATGCATATGCATTATTTCAATAAATAAATTGTCAAATAAACCACCTAATTTGTTTAAAAACAATTTTTTTAATTTTTTTTAGTATTACTAAAGTTAAGTTTGAATGTAAAACAGAAGTATTTGTCATTTCCTATATTTTGGGATCTAAGCCACATTTTAAGTTTATAATAAGTTTATTTTTGACGTTTCGATTTCTACTTCGTAAATCTTTCTCAGAATACGGAACATTAATAAATTAATCAAATTTTGTTTTTGGTTACTTGGTAGAAAATTTGGTTGAAAAATTTTTCTGATAACTCTTCTGGGTAATTGATTAGGGTGAGGAAGCTCAGTAGATCTGTTATAGTAAAAATTACAAAAAAAAGTTATTGGCAAAAATTGTAGACAGCTTTAAACCAAACATTTTAAAATTAGTTACAATCTTACAGGGTATTCTATAAGATGGTGGCAGACCAAACTTATGTTTTTTAAATGAAACATTTTGAAAATGAAATTTTATTTTAAATTGGAAATCTGCTTCACTTTCACATCACAACAATGTAAAGTTTTATTATGTTATACCGGGTATTTAAAAAGTTCTAACCAATATTACCTGAAAATCGTATCAAGTTTAACTCCCTGTATAATTAAAAAGGTGTATAGGACCATTAATCTATTGCAATCATAGTTTTTTAATAATTGTTAAAAATTATAAATTTGTTATATTATTTCGTTAAACCAAATATATGGTAAGTGAAAATGCAAGTAGATTATTTTCTTGGTAATTTTAAATAGAACACCCTGTATTTTATATCACTATCGAAAAGTACTAATATCGTACTTCAAATTTTATAGAGTACTCCATATACATAAAGTTATCAGTTTTCTAGAGATTTTTATTTTTCCATTAAAGTATTAATTTGGTAGATATATTAACTTTTACCAATAATTATTGTGAGTTGACCATGATTAATTTGTCAGAAACTGACAGTTTGACATTATTGTTTATTAATTTAGTATTGGGGTACATCGTAAATTAGCAACAATTATTATTTAGCAATTTAATAATTTATTCAATTTAAATTAGCAATAATGAATTTTACTTCTGATGAAATGATAGATAAATATGATCCGGATATTCGGGGAATGCAATAAAAATTCATTACTATCAGCTAAAATTTATCATGAACGGTTTCCAGATAGGCGGCAACCTAGACAAGATACATTTGAAAAATTGAAAGAATGATTTAACCGCACTGGTTCAGTGAATTATGAAAAACATGAACGAAAAAAAAAAACTAGTGTGACAGAGGAAAACGAAATGAGTGTGTTGATGGCAGTTACAGAAAACCCCCTCACAAGTATAAGGAGTATTTCCAATCAGCAAGAACTTAGTTACTACTCTGTTCAAAACATTCTATCTAAAAACAAGATGCACCCATATCATAGTCAAAAGCACCCAGAATTAAATAATGATGATTTTCAGAAACAGATCTACTGAGCTTCCTCACACTAATCAATCACCCAAAAGAGTTATCAGAAAAATTTTCTACCAAGTAACCAAAAACAAAATTTGATTAATTTATTAATGTTCTGCATTCTGAGTTCCGAAGTAGAAATCGAAACATCAAAAATAAACTTATTATAAACTTAAATTGTGGCTTAGTCTCCAAAATATAGGAAATGACAAATACTTCTGTTTTACATTCAAACTTAACTTAAATTCTATTAAAAAAAAAATAAAAAAAATTGTTTTTAAAGAAATTAGGTGGTTTATTTGACAATTTATTTATTGGAATAATGCATATTCGTAATGTACGCAAAAAGTACATGCAAGTTCAAAAAGAAACGTTGAAATACATAAAAAAGGAACAGAGATACAGTTAACAGCGCCTTCCCCCTCCCTTCAGCTCCGAGAGTTTCAAAGCTGACTGATTTTACATACATTTTGAAGCTTTGTGGAGGATTCCATTACAGGGCAATAATAATAAAATTTAGTACTTTAAAACTATAATGTACATTCTTTCAAATAGCGATAATTAGATTTCTTAATTATTATAAACAAAGGTGCTATGAATTAAATAAAAAAAGATGCTAACTTTGTACCAAATTATTTTAGGACAAACTTTTTTTTATTTAAATTTGTGAAAAAATTCAAGCTTTTTAAATATGTAAAAATAATATTTTTACAGGCAATGGTTAAAAAGTTATTCTAATTGTTTATAAGCAAAAAATCGACATGTTTTTGCAAAATTATTTTGCAATATTTATAATTAATTTTCGTATTTTTTTTAATGTTGATAATAAAACAAGTCTACTTTTACCAGAAACAACCCTTACAATTACTAAAACTTTATAAATTTTTGACTTATATTGTTGCAAAAAATGTTAATTTGGGATAAACAAATAAAATAACTTTTAAACTATTAAACCGATCACTTTGAAATTTTTACCCTATTTAAACCACTACAAGACACATCATTCCATAAAATATTAATATTATAAGTTTATTTTCAAAAAAGTTATTAACATTTATATAAAACCGAAATTTTTGACTTATTTTGCAACTTTCTAAGTAACAAATAAAAATAAAAACAATTAGAAAACACCATTTTAAAGGTTTTTACATAGCTAATAAGTTTCCTCTCTTATAAAATTTGTTTAAATTGCTTCACTTTTTGCAGATAGACGAAAAAAGCAAAAATTTTCTGTTTTTTGACCTTAATTTGCTAATAACTAATTAAGTCCAAAAACTCGACTGCAGAAAATAATTAGGTTTTTGTTACAGTGGTCCGTACTACTCAAAACAACTGTCGTTTGCGTGGCCGGACGAGTGTCATGAAAAAATGCTTATTTCTGGGCTAATAAGCGGCTACATAAACGCACTATACGTGAAATCAAATCTTAACTGTCTTTCCCTTCCTCTCTAACAAATTCTTTATTTTTAATATAAGATTGATGGTTACTTATTTTAATATTTATTGTTCTTGATATTTTAACTAAATAAAAATAATCGCATTCACAACGTATTTTATAAATACAATTCTTTGTTTTTTTTTTATTGTTAGGTTTTGTTTTAAATAAAATAGATATCAATGTGTTTATTATGTTGACTGATGTTGAAACGATAAATTTATTTTCCATCATTTCAAGTTTTTCCGATCGTTTTAATAGTTTTGTGTATGGTATTGTTATTTTCCTTGTATTATTCCTTGTAAATGCTGTACGATCTCGTTCTAAGTTGTTCTGTTCCTTTTGGGTAATTCTTTGAAATTCCTTAGTTATAAACGATAAAGAATAATGATTTTGTAATAAAAAGACGTTAACAGATATTTACAATTTTCGTTAAAACAAATAAGATTGCCTACATAACATTGATATATTTTATCTAAAACTAAACCATGAACAAGAAAGAACAAAATATTGTATCTATAAAATACCTTGTGGATGCGATCATTCTTATTTAGGTAAAACATCTTATTCAAAACAAAGAATTTGATAGATCTCAAATATGTGAACACGCATGGGATTATGAACATACGGTTCAATGGAACTATTGTATAGTCCTAAAAGAAACATGTGGTAAAAAGAGAGAAATTAGAGAAGCGGCTCTAATTATGTTAAATGAGACCAAATACATCGCAAATTCCTCGGCAGAAATACTTACCACGACCATGTTGGGATAGTATTATGAGGTTTGTTCCCTGATTTTTTCCTTATAATATATTATGGAATCACTAACAGAAGATTGTTTCTGTCATCATTGCACGTGGTTGATTTTTAAAGAAGATTAACATGCTATGATGATTTTTCTGACGATTATTTTAAGTTATAATTGATTTTACTTATGTAATCAAATGAACTATTTTACAATAAAGTCGTCCGAGGAACGCAAGTCAGCAATATTGGCAATAATTTCAAAGTTGTCTACTATAAAATATATCAAATTATGTTTAATATATATCTGTATTGTTAATATGATTAAGTCAGATAGAATTAAATTATTAGGAGAGTTTTTCACCAAGTAACAAAAAAACAAAATTTGTTTAATTTATTATTGTTTTATATTTTGAAAACGATTTTTCGAAGTGGAAATCGAAACGTCAAAAATAAACTTATTTCAAACTTAAAATGTGGCTTATTTCCAATAGGAACATGAAGAAGTATGGAATATTGAATGATGAGTTAAAATCCGCTATCGTTTTTGCAGAGGCTATGTTGACAATACGCTATAAAAGATATTAACAAAATTGGCTAAGAATTAGAGGCCCCCAAAACGACGGTACAAAACTTAGAGCTCATCGCCACAAGAAGTTTGACACAGAATATTACTAAAAATAACAAAGTGAACAGGAGCTAGATATATAAAAAGAAAAATTTAAATCTTTTCATTTCAATAAGTTACTATATAAATAGCATAGGTATACCTATAAACAAACTATGCAATATACTACTAATATATTAAGCCTTCTTCCTATAGAAAAAAATGAAAATTAAGATGTATATCTACTTCTTTTTTATTTTGATTTTAGATACGCGAATGACTGGTTAAGTGTTGGTGGCCTGACGCCACACTTACTTGAATCATTAGATCCTGATGTACCAATAGATATATATGGACACTACACAATTATGTTAGTTACTAAAATATACAAAGTTCTTAAAAGAATTAATAAAACTTTGTCAGGATCTATATGTGATGGTACAATAGAATCGGGTCACTCAGGACACTCGGTAAAATCCGAGGTTGAACAGTAAGCATCATGAGTCACTTTTGCTTATTCTAATTAATTTTTTGAGCGACTAAATCTTATGATTATTTATTCCAAACTTTATTAACCACTATATTAAAAGTACTTCAACTTATTAGAAAAAACAAATATATTAGATACACATATAATACAGTATTTACAACAAAATAAATATAATAGTGGCTTTAAAAATCTGTAACATTCTTTAATCTAATTCTTTAACCACACCACGATTTTAAAAACAAGTCTTAACCAGGATTTTGGAAGTAGTCGGGTATTTTTTAATTTTAAGATACATTTTTTAATAAGATGCTGTTTTTTTCTTGTCTTGAACATGTCTATTTAATACCGATCGACTAAAATTATTAAACATCTTTCATTACTTAGCATACAAGTCCTCGGCTGTTCCTCAGAATCTGATACATGTCTCCCTGCCATTACTTGATAGACCTCTATGAAAATATATTTATTTAGCCTTCTACATCCAGGGCTCTAGTACCAAGGTGTCATCAAACTTTCTTATAATAGTAAATTCTGCCGATACTGCTTTACTGTACGGATGAAGGGTTGGAGTTATTTAAACCTATTTGGAGAAGAGACAGATGCTTCTTTTTGTTGTTCTACTTCTTCTTTTTAACTAATTCTGCTTGTTCATTGGCGGGTTTACCTTTATGAATAGTTATCACTTTATCTTTTGCGTGGTCGTCCGATACTGTTCTGTCGATTGGTTAGTTACCTCTAGCTATTTTGATCACACTAGTTTTTCCATTCTGTTTATGTGCTTATTTTTTTCTTCTATCCAGTATCTATTTGTTTATACACTGTAAGTTATATTTTTTTCTAATGTTGACTTCTTTTCCGATTTCTCATCGTATTTCCTTTAATTCTTGTCAGTACTCTCATATCTGTTGTTTTTAGTAGCTTTTCTATGGTGGCGGTGTCTGGTCTTGTGTCTAATGTTAATGTTAATGTATTTGTTTTACCATACAGTGTTGTTAAGGCATCTTGCTAGTCTATGCGCTTTTTGTACTTGATTTCACACTTCTTTGTCTGGATCTCCTTAGCTGGACAGCGTAATTTTAAGGCATTTTATGTGCATTGCTTGTTTAATACTAATGCCATCAATTTCATACCATCTTACATCTGATTGTTTATTAGCTGATGATTACTATGATTTTCGTGTTTTTGAGATGAGATTGTCATATTAAATGCTTTTGCTCTTGTGTTAACAGAGATACAGTTCGTAACCCGAAACCTGTTTCTACTTGTCCCCTTTGAATTTTTATTTTTTGACTTGAAATGAAATATGATTATACTTATTTTTTTATGCGAAAAAATTAAATTAAAATTAAAGAAAAAGAAAAAACTTATAAAATCAGAAATGTTTATTTTATTAAGGCCTTATTAATGATACGATAAGGCTTGGAGTATAGTTGAAAGAGTATGTAACTTAATATTGCATGTTACCAGGAAACTTACGATTCGTAGGTAACGACTCGTAGCATGGTAACCATTATAAATTCCATAATCTTCTCGTAAATATTCACTAATTTACGTCAAAATATGGATTTCTTTTAGACACTCTCTCTTCAATCCTAACCCCCCAGGGGGAGTGTAGTGGTCGACGTGATGTCGTGTATTGTCCGTCTCCAGAGATCTGCGTCTCTGGTTATTTCTTTTAATTCATGCATAGGTCTTTGGCATATTCCTATAATTTGATCTATCCATCTTGTTGGGGATCTTCCTCGTGATCTTCGGCCTTCTACCTTTCCTTGTATTATGAGTCTTTCCATGTTTTCTGTGTTTGCTCTCATAACATGCGCAAAATATTTTAATTGTTGGAGATGGACTTTACTAGAAAGTCGTTGGCTAACTTTTAGCTCTCTTAAAATTGAATTATTTGATCTACGGTCAGTCCAAGGAATTCGTAACATTCGTCTCCAACAGAACATTTCGTAGGTCAGTATTGGGAATGTTAAGCAGTTGATCAACCTCATCTTTATCGCTCTTGAAATTTGACAGTCCTTCCATATTTTGGTCATTTTTGCTGTGGCAACTTTTGCTAGATCACATCTACGTTTAATCTCTTCTTGTAATGATCCTGTGTTTGTGATTAATGATCCCAGATATAAGTATGGGCTCACAACCTCGAACCGGTCAATTGTGGTTATGTGTGGATGATTGTTGTGTAGTCTATCCACTATCATCTTTGTCTTTGACTTTCGTTTTCGATCAGTCGTATAAGTTCTATCAGCTCTGCTTGACTATTTGCAAGAAGGGCTGTGTCATCTGCGAAACGTAGGTTGTTTAGTTTATGACCATTTATTGAGATGCCCTTTTCCCATCCTTCAAGTGCTCTTCGCATAATATACTCCCTATATATGTTGAATAATTGTGGAGATAGTATACATCCTTGTCTGATACCCGGTTCTGGATGAAATTCGTTCGAAAGTGTGTCAAGTACCTTAACTGACCGAGTAGTGTGTTCATATAGTTTGGTTATAAGCGTAATTAGATGTTGTGGTGCGCCTACTTCTTTTAGTATTCGACATAAGTGTCTCCACTTGAACCTGTCGAACGCTTTACGGTAATCTATAAAACAGATGTATAGTGGGATGTTGAATTCCCTGAGATTTCTCGATTATCTGTCTTATATTCAGCAGGTGTTCTCGAGTGCCTCTACCTTTGGTAAATCCAGTTTGCTCCTGTTGAAATTTTTTTTTGAAGCAATGTTTTCAGTCTCTCATTGATTATATGTAGCATTATCTTGCTGGCATGGGGTATGCTTTTAGAAAATATGCATTAAATATGCATTTTTTTTAGTAATATGCATACTGTCAATGGAAGCATATTATATTAGAGAGTAAGAAAGTACGAAAGAAGTAAAAGTAAAATCGTTATGTTTTTTCCTGGTAAATAGTATTTCTAAAAGTTTTGGTTGACTTGATTCCACACATTGCATATTGCTGCTAATTTGTTGTTACTTCTTCGTTCAGACCTTGTGTCCTTATCGTCAAATCGGACAAATCTTATCAAATTTTTTAATCGTTTTAACCCCATGTTAGCTTTGAATATAGTAGGTACATAAAACTTAATCAAAATTATATCTACATTATAGATGTTGGAAGTAGTTGCCCTGCAGTTAGTAGTAGTCCAATAAAGGCATATAGTTTTGTAGAATCGCAATAGTTTAAGTTATTTATCCCCAGGACTTTTTCGGCTACTCTATTTGTACACTTCACTATTTCTTTCACAATTTTTTGTCCACAAAAAACCACAAGGAATTAACAGGATCATCTACAATTTGACAAGGGGCTAATATTACTTTGTGCACTTTGCTTTTGATTATGTCGCAGGATCGCATACGCTCTGTCGGTTGTGGTTTTTGGTTGACTGTTCCAGTTAATTATATCCTTAGTTTAAAAAATTACATACTCCGAAATCTTGGAACTTGTAGTTCATAACATCAGAGTCACTTTCAATGCCATATACTTCAGGAGATTCTTTATCACCGTAATCTCATAAATTATTAGCAATATCTTGCAGTTCTGCAGTTGATAATAGTTTTCAGGACATTTGATTTGCACTGTCTACTTTCACTGTAACCCAATATAATTTTAGGAGCTAAGTGTTGTCGATACTAACATCGATATCAAACAACTGATAAAAGATGCAATATTTATTTCAAAATATGTATAGGTGCCTACCTAACAATATTATTGCATTTCAACCATGATTAAGTTTTAAAAATTTATTTAGAATAGATGTAACACCTATTGTAAGCATTTCTTTGTTGTTCATATCAAAGAGCTGTTTACACTATTTTTTACACGTTTAGACTTAATTATGGGATTTCCGGAATTACAATAGTCGTTTAGATAATTCACAAAAATATTACCAAGTTAACTTCTGTGACAAAGATTTAGACTTCACGTATAAATACAATTAGGGTCCAACGGGCCCGTGTTGCCACTTTACGTGACAAAATTCTTTCGACGCAATAAATTCAAAAATGATAATAAATATTGTGAATAGCCCATGACTATGTAAAAAACAACATACTTCTGCAACAAATTCAGTGATGCATTAAAATTCAAAAAAAAATTTATCAATTTATGATAAAACAATTGACGTCTTAGGCTCGTTGGACCCAGCTTGCCCGGATAAGTGTTAATTTAAATATCCCTTAAAATACTCAATAATCTTAAGCTTTATCTTATATTAGAGAATCTTCCTACACCAGTCCATCTACAAGACTATCACTTGGTGTATCAAGTCTGTTTAAAGCAAGCGTTACTACTATAACATCACTGAGCGGAATGAAAAGTACATGTGTTGAACCCCTTTTGTTACGTTTGCCCGAGTTGGAGTTGGTCAATTTTATTCTTGGAAGCAACTACGTGATCAACCTTGTAGATTATTTTGATCTTTATAAGTAAGTTTTGAATACTTTTATTTATGGAAGTATTTAGATTGTAGATTTATAGCACATGTACGCCTATGGTTAAAGTATTTATTACAATAGTCTCCAAGTAAGCAGAGACTACTTACAACTATTTAATATAGTCAAATATTATGTTTGAACATTTTCCGTTACTTCTCTTATTACCCTTCGCCAGATCTCTCTTCTACTCTGAAAATAGAATTTGATTTAATTTCATATTGTCAATTTTCACTATTATTTCAGGTAATAAGATATCGAGAGATATCTTATTACCTGGTTTTTACATTTAATCTATAACGAATTTTTAAACTACAAATAAACCGAGTTTTAGTTCAGTCTGTTAGACTTTTGGGGCGATTCTGTTTGTATTACAAAATATTTTTTCATGTCCTGGACTCTTTTGTGATTAACTCATATAACTTACACCAACGTTTTGAACGCTATAAAGAAGTACCACTAAAATCATACCACCCCATGAGAAAGTATTTATGTGATCAGTGTTATAAACCAGTATGCTTGCAATGCTTCACTTTGATAAATAATAATAGATAAGTTTAGGAATTGTTTTTGCTTTTATACTTCCCAATATTTTCGTTTCGTGGTTTTGTATATTATGTTATAAAGTTTATTGTAATTGAAAATACATTGAAACATTATCTGTATTTTCGCAGTAAGCTTGCTCCAAATTAATTTAAAATACACTTTACTTTATTGTGTCCGGACATGTCATTCATAAAATTTCGGCCCAGTTTTGGGCTACGTCGGTTCCATCTTTGTTGGCGAGCCATAAATCTTTAAGGGTACATCGATAAAGACAGTTTCTGCATGTAAAAAGATGTTCCATAATATTCTGTGTTTCTCCACAGTAACAGTTCACACCATCTTGGTCTATTTTTTTCCATTTTGCCATGCTTGATTCTACTTTAGCGACCTCCGTTCTTATCCTATTCATAGTTTTCCACGTTTTAAAGTCTAGGGACTGGCCGGTTCATTGAAGGCGGGGAAGAGGAAAATGCTCAGGCGGTTCATCCTACACTGTTCCAAGGAAGCTTTTCCTACATTTTAGTCGCTTTTGTGGTGTTCGAGCTTTGTATAGGGCATGCTGCTCGTCCGCGATCTGTTTAATTTTCTCTATGTGCTCTGCAACGCCTCTGCGTGTTGAGGGTTCTGCTGAACCCGCTGCTTTATATAGATATAAGAGTGGCGTCGTTTTCATGCACCCGTTACTATCCTGCATGTCTCATGTAGCATAGTATTAACTTGTTTGGTGTGGGCAGATCTGCCCCAAACGGGGCACACATATTCAGCAGTTGAGAAACACAGTGCCTGGGCCGTTGTTCTTAAAACGCTAGGACGTGCGCCCCTTTTACTTCCCGTTACCTTTCTGAGTATGCTGTTCCTAATTTTTACTTTCCCTCTCGTTTTTATGCAATGTTGTCTGTAGGTCAGAAACCGGTCCAAAGTTATTCCAAGATATATAGGTTGGTTTCTGTGTTCTAATGTATTACCATTCCACACAATTTGGAGTTTTCGTTTGGCTTCCTTTGCTCGAAGGTGAAAAGCGCATACTTGTGTTTTAGAGGGATTGGGTCTCAAAGCATTCTGCAGGTAGTACGCTGTCATTGTTTTTAGGGCAGTTTTGAGTTTCTCCTCCACTTCTTAAAAACTATTTCCTTGAGTACATATTGCAAGATCGTCAGCATAGAGGAAGTGCTTGGTTTCGGTCGGAGTAGGTTGGTCGTTTATGTATATATTGAAGAGCATTGGTGCTAAAACACTTCCCTGTGGAAGGCCATTTTTTTAACTCTCCACCTACTTACTTTACCTTCCAGCATAACAAAAAAACGTCCATTTTGTAGTAAGGAATATACGACCTTTCCCAGATGGTGGTCATGGAGAGTGTCGTATAATTTTCGGAGCAATTTTTGTGCCTTATTGTATCGTAGGCTGCTGTCAGATCTACAAAAGTAGCCCCTTTTATAAGTTTTTTTTTCAAAGCCTTCTTCAATGTGTTCTGTTAATGCTAGGTGCAATATTTGCCGGGTCTGAATCCTCCTTGTTGTGCGATGAGGTGCTTGTCGATATTTTTTTCTTTTCTGGCGAGTATAAGTCTTTTGTTTAGTTTAAAAAAGTGACACAATAGCAAAATAGGTCTGTAGCTACTGGGATTTTCTGGGTCCTTTCCTTGTTTTAATAAGGCTATTACTTTAAATTTCCTCCTTGATTTTGGAATTTTGCAGGCTTTACAGCACGTGTTATAAAATTTCAAGATCCAATTTTTTATTCCCTTGGCCTTGATGCTTTATTTGTTTACTATATATATCTTCCGTACCTACAGCTTTTCCGTTCTTAAACTTGTTTATACCGTTGTGGAGTTCTTTTACTGTAAAAGGAGTTCTGTATTCAAAGATAAACCACTTTATCTCTTCCATATCTCTTCCTAAACCACTTAGTTCTTCCATTCGTAAGAAGCTGAGCAGCAACTTGGTTTGCTGTACGCTGTTTGCGACCTTTCATGGTAGTTTATGTTCTTTTTGATCACCGCGGAGGTTTTTTACAAGGTTCCATGCTATTTTGCTGCTATGTATCATGTCCATTTTTTCCAGGATCTGAATCCAGTTTTCCTGACTGGCTTGACTTAGCTGTTGGAGTAGTGCTGCTCCGCAGTCAACCGTTTATTGGCTAAAAGGGTCAGTGGAATAGGGGGTTTCGTATGTTCTCATTAGTTCTTTGGACTCGCTGGAGATCCTGGGAAAATAAATTTTTCATAGTTCTCTACTTTTTATTCAAGACGTAGCAACTCAGAATCTGGCAAGTCTGCATTCTTTTGCCAGTTTGCCGTTTTGAAGTTAAATCTCCTTCTGAATGGAATAGGTTGTGGTCTGCCAATGGGAAAGATATTTATACTAATTGGTCTATGTTGAGTTTTTGGTATGAGGCTCTATAATACTTTGGTACATCGGTCTTCAAGGTTGTTGCTAGAAAAACAGATATCCGGGTTATATCCTCTATCTGCGTCCGAATCTGCATAGCCCTAGAGTAAACTGTGAATGTTAAAGTCTCCCAGTACAAGCTGATTGTGTTGTGATTGAAAGTTAGTTAAGGGTGAAAATATAAAAGGCTGGTTCGGGGCCTTGTATACTGAGGTCATTGTCCATTTTCCGATTTCAGTGGTTATTATCTCTATACCGTGTAAATTTGTTGTTCCCACAGATGAGACTATGGTTTAAGTTGTCACAAATACCGCGCTCCGATGCTTATTGTGTGGTATCTCCGCAATTGGTTTCATACCAGGGACTTTCGGTCTTGCTGCAGTTAGGTCTCTGTGGGTAAATTGGATGCGCAATACTTCACATTTCGTATTCGTGCAGAATTCTGATAAGATGTCTTGTTTGTATGTAGTGATGCCCTCGATATTTATGCTCGTTACTGTCAGTGCTGGCTCTGAGAAGAACCGTTGTGGCTGGATGCTTGCCATCTAATTTGGTTTGGTCCGGTGTTGGAAGGATTAGCCATCTACTAGTAGACAATTCCAGGAGACGCCGTCAATAGTGTTGACTTTGTAGTTGATGTGGCACTATTGATCTCATAGAGGCTCCTTCCTTGTCCCCCATGTATAATATGACTACATACATGTTAAAATATGACCTACATTTAGTCAGGCTATAGTTTTATTATTGATAAACTGTGACTTCTTCTAAATTTGTATTTTTAGTATTAGATACGTTCTCGTAATTTTTTTTTCCGAATAAGGGTTTAATACATGCATAATGACTAAATTTTAATTCATTTTATTATATACCATTTAGACTCGTTCCCCAAAGAGATATCTACAAAGATAAAATTTGGCCAATTGCTGCTGATTTCATACCCTACGACGTCTTTTCACCAATATTTAATATTTCCACAACGTTTCCGAAACCAGATGCTGTACAAGGTGAGCCTACTGAGCCTGAGCAGGACACTTTATTAGATCCCGATCCTGTGCTAAGAGAAGTCGTCATGTTTAAAGATTTTTGAACAAATTACTGAGTAGTCACGAGGAAGGTAATGGTTTTTTGTTGTGTAACTACAAATATTAATAATAAATACCGAGATTAATTTACGTCTTATTTATAAAATTTTATATGTATCAACGTAACAAGGTAGTTACGCAAACCGAGATAAAAATCATTAATATCGATTGAACCAGTTACTGATACTGCTGTGCATAAAACAACCGGAAACTATAGCACTTATTCCTCCCGTGGGACTAGAAAATGTCTACTAAGTATAAAACCGCGTTTTTATGGGTAGTCAACCACGAACGTGAGCCACACTTTCGTAATTCACGCTTCGTGTTAACAATTACATTCGTAAAATATTAAGAATAAATTCTCTTCACAAATAAAAGTGTTGTGAGTATTGTTTTGAAGTTAATAAAATTAGAAAAATAAACGGCATCACCCAAAGGCAATGTTTAGTTGCATTTTAATAAACTTATAAAAGCAATTTTGCTGCAAGTTTTGCTCCAAAGTTTAAAAACATTTCCCAATTATATTCTGTATTTCCCAATATTTTGGAATATTTGAAATATTTCCCAATATTTTGGACATTATCTCTGATCTGTGCTGAAGTCTAGGGTTGACTGATAGAAAGATGGTATGAAAAATCATATATTTTCATACCATCTTTCTATCAGTCAACCCTAGACTCCAGCACAGATCAGAGGTAATGTAAGTCGACAAAATCTCACCAGCTCCTGGGGGTCATGTTAGATGCCCCCATTTTTAGTTTTTATTAATTACTGAAGTTAACGATCTATTGTATTTACATTTGTAAATTCCATGATGATCGTTTTTTGTTACTGATGTTTTTCTGTGGCCAAACAATGTTTTTAACAACTTTTTATTGATGATGATGGAACGATTCAATTCCGAAAAGAGCTTCTTTAAAATAAAAGTTTTAAGCTTTGAATAAGCATTTTTATACCTTGATACACACGAACACCACGTGCTTTGGATTCAACAGGTATACTAACCTCTCCTGGATATCTCCACTGCATAGTTTTGTTCCAGTTTCACTTTTAATGTGAAAAATAGACTAAGTAAAGAATAATTAATATAAGTGCGCAGATACAGATGAACTTTACCTAATTGCAATGTTAAGATGAGAAATAATTGAGGCATTTACTCAAACAGGAATAAGGCAGCTTTGACATCTAACAATACGGGAATGCAACATTAGGGGGGTAAAAAACTGTACAGACTTAGGATCCCTAGTAACAGGTGCAGGAGAAGTGAAGATGCAAATTACCAACAAATGTTTCTGTGGCTTAGTTAGGAAATAAGTTTAATCGGTACTCATATATGGATTAAAAACCTGGGTACTCCCCAAAAGTGACGAAAGAAAAAAATCATAACTTTAAACAATACACAATGTATCAAAATTAACCTCTTGTTCACTTTATTTTAACCGGATTTTAACATAGGTTATGTTTTTTACAAATACTTTCAAACAAATACTTTTTGGTAATTAAATTTTGAAATTGTATGTTTAACATGTTTGTAGTTGATTCTTTAAATTAAAAAAATATTTATCTCTTCACTAGTTTTTTTTTACTACAAAAACAATTAAGAGTATAAATTATTTTACAAGCGTTTACTAAAAATATATTTATTATTTCCATTGAAAAATCAATTACTATGTTTGCAAATATATTATATGCAATTGCTTTTAACAGTCACATGGAATTTAAAATAGTTAACTAACTTCTACTGGAACAAATAAAAACGTTTATGCATTATCTTAAGTGAATGAATGCGCCATGACACACAATTTAATAATTTTGCATTTAATTTGGTTATCTAAACACTCTTAAGGTTATCCCATATTTAAGGTTATTAGTTACTCTGCTTTATCTGCTACTTAATAATATATGTAAGACATTCCAAAGCAGATACTAATTGTTTGTATTGCATCTAATGGATCGATGAAGTCCGGAAAGCCGGCCATCGAAATTCAAACAAGAGGAAACAGGAGGCACGAAGGAAGCTTGTATGATTTAGGGGGTACAAGGGGCACATGTGGCTCGGAAACGTTGGGGATATAAACGATGTGTCGGCCTCTCTTCCGTCTATTACGTTTCATACAGCTCATAACGTTCATTGACCAACTAAACCCTCGTTAGTGTCACGGAAAGGAATTGGCCTGTTCTGTAACTGTGACATTTCACAGATGGCCTCAGACTGTTTCTGCTAAAAACTATTTGCAGCATATTGTGCGGATCGGGATAACTAATTAGCTGTTGAGTTTCAGCGTATTTTCGTTATTTTAAGTACATCATTAAATACAAATGCTTTTTCCTGGATTATATGGGTCGTTGATATTAAAACCTGAATTATGTTGCACCATTTTGGAGCTGCGTACTGACTATATATAAGAAAATAGAAAAAACTATTTATAGAAGTTGTATATCAAAATTTTTTATGGCCCATTATAAAAAGTTGCATTTATTTAACGTCAAATCATAACCTGCAAAACTACGAAATTACACAACAAAAAAAGAGGAAAATGGCATAATTTACATGTTTACTAATTTTAATAACACATTATTTATAAATTTTGGCTTACAGCTAAAGTTAGAACGGCTTAGGTCTTAGTAAATATTTATAATTCCAAGATCATATATTCTAAAATTGTACGAGTATTTATGATAATATCTTCCGTCAACAATTAGATCTTCCGTCAACAATTAGACATCACAATTATAATTACCGATTTGATCATACATTGTGAAACTTGTATAAATTGTTATGTCACAATTGCTATTTTGCTACTTTAACGTATGTTTTGTATATTTATGTTATGTCTAAAGCTCGGATTATAGGCAAATGCCTTTTTTGCCTATTTTGCCTATTATAAGTGTTTTTTGCACTTTTTGCCTTTTTTCGTAAATTCCGCCTATTTGTGCCTTTTTTAAAATTTCATGGTACTACCCATGATATTATTCTATTACTAAACCATTCTATAATAAAATTTTGGGTCAATAATAAAATATCAATGGTTTGTTTATATAATAGATTTCTAGGAAAATGTACCTGATCGAGACTTGAGGGTTAACTATTTGGAAATCCCTAAGCTTTATTAGTTTATTATCAGTTGTACAGTCGGTTACTGTATCAGAGTTTACTCACAAATTAGCAAATTGCTATATCCTAGTTTAGTTTTGTTGCGTATACCGAAAAGCAAAGAACACGTTTTAAAACGTTCAAGACAGTTGTGTGAAAAGATGACATCTAAATTAAGGCTATGGATCGCACCTTATTCGGAACTTTCTCTAGAAGGAGATGGAGCATTTTGTAAACCATGCGGCAAATCGGTAAGTTTTATTTTTTTTTTCTTTTTTTCTCGTCCCACAACATAACTAAATTCTAAAGCGGTTTTAGAATTCTAATTATTTTTTTTTAATTCTCAGATTTCAAGTAGAAAAAAGTACTTTATTGACCAGCATTGTGGAACCCCACTTCATAAACGTAATTTGGAAAAATTAAATTCCTCTAAGTTAGCCCAAACATCTCTGCGGGATAGTTTAAGCAGTTCAAAAAAAAAAGGAGGAAGACGCATTTAAATTTGATTTATGCCAGATGATGATTGCATCCAACATTCCTCTATATAAAGTTAATAACCCTAGTTTTAAACGCTTTTTTTGAAAAATATCTTAATAAATCCTTACCGGACGAGAGTACATTGAGAAAACATACTGTGGAAAAATGTTATGTGGAATGTATTTCAAAAATTAAGCACGAGTTGGAGGGCAATTTTTTGTATATTATCGTGGATGAAACGACAGATGTATGCGGCAGGTATATAGCTAATTTAATGATTGGAATTTTGAACGAAAACTTTGAGAGAAAACCTTATTTAGTTGCCGTTAAAGAATTGGAAAAAACAAACAATTTAACAATAAGTCGATTTATACAAGATAGTTTAACAAACCTCTTTTTACCCAACGCTATACCAGTGAATAAAATAGTTTTAATGCTTTCAGATGCTGCGGCATATATGTTAAAAGCTGCTGTTAATTTAAAAATTTTTTATCCTAATTTAATTCATTGCACTTGTGTAGCCCACGGGGTAAATAGAATTGCTGAAGAAATAAGAAATCTGTTTCCGTTGGTAAATAATTTTATAAATTTTATGAAAAAAGTTTTTGTAAAGGCTCCGTTGAGGGTGCAAATATATAAAGAAAGACTTCCCGGTGTCCCTTTGCCACCTAAACCAGTAATTACAAGGTGGGGAACCTGGCTCGAAGCAGTCTTTTTTTACTTTGAACACTGCAATGAAATAGAATTAGTTATGTCAGAATTTGATGATGATATTTCCGAAGCCATTCGAGAAGCAAAAAAAATATTAAAAAATCCCAAATTGAAACAGGAACTCGGTTATATCAATGACAATTATAAATTAATAGTTACCACAATTACCTTATTAGAAAAACAAGAGATAAATTTATGTGAGTCAGTAAAATTAATAGATAATTTAAAGACGAAAATTAAATCGGCACCTGGAAGTAACGGTCAATTAATTTTTAAAAAAATGAAATATGTTTTCGACAAGAATGAAGGTTTTTCGTTTTTATCTAATGTTGCTAAAGTTTTGAATGGGACATTTTCCGAGGAATTTCAAATTATGCCAGATTTATTATCCGCTCTGAAATATGCTCCAATTACATCTGTCGATGTCGAACGTTCGTTTTCAATGTACAAATTAATTTTAAGTGATCGAAGACATAGTTTTAAGACCGAAAATATTGAAAAACATTTAGTTGTTTCTATTAATGATAAAATTTTAAGTGGTTACAATGTTTAATTATTAATTAACAGTTATTTAGTTACTAGTTTATTTATACTAATGTTATGATTATGATGTGTAAATATACTTGCCTTAAGTTAATATTACGTTAATTTACTTTGTACAATAAATAATAAGTTATATTCCTTTATTGCCTATATTTTGCCTAAATGTTAATATTCCTGCCTTTTTTAATAAAAATCTTTGCCTATATAGGCGCCTTTTTCTTCAATTTTTGTTGCCTATAAATCCGAGCTTTAGTTATGTCATTG